ACAAATTTAAACTACCCACAAAAGTAAACAATGAACAGCCATCACTGTGATAGTAATAAAAATTTATCTCCTCCTTTTTGAAATTCTGATAGTGCTAGAAAGTTATATCTAGATACAAATTTTTAAAATTCATACATGTGCTTGCTACTTTACAACAATTAATGCTTTATGTCAAATCATGTAACAACAGTTTAGCTTTTCAAGAGAGAATTTTACATTACTACTGGCCATTTAATACATAACTGACATAAATTTATAAGTAAATCTGCTACTTTCAAACCAAATACATAAAAGAGACTACAAAGACCAACTTACACAACCATTATGCACTGGTAATTTAGTTTGAAGACATAATCGTTGAACTAAGTCTTTACTATCTAGAAAGAAAGAAAGAAAGAAAAAAAAAACATTATTCACTATTATTGTGAGCTGGATTTACCACAACCAGGCCATTTGGTTTCTGGCTGTCAAAATCCTTTCTATCAAATTTAGCCAATTTGAACAAATCTTTTAAAAAGTTTAAATTAGTTATATTTTAAATAAAAATCCAAGTTACACTGTTATAAAGTGTTTCATACATCACGTTCTCCTTCAAATTGTGTTGTTGTTTTTTTGTAATTAATGGAAAGTTTATAAATTCCTTCAGAGGAAGTTATTATTACAGAAAAATTCTGTTGTATGTGTTTTACAGTATTAAAAGTAACATAAATGTTTACTCTTTTTACTTGAGAATTTTTGTCTCAACAAATGAGGTAATAGTGACCTCAAAGAAATTCATCTTAATAATGCTGAACAGGGACTAAAAATGAGGCACTATAGTAGTCACCAAAATGTTCTTTGAACTTCTGTCATATGGAATGTTATATTCACAGAAAAAACATATATAAATTTAAGTAATAAAGCAATGAAGTTGTAAATTTTCCACGTAAAATTATCATAAGCCGACAGACTATTTTTACGTGTAAGTTAGGGGTTACACTGTGTACACAATTGTCTGATAATAACACTTCTTGGATACCATGCAATCTTTATTTATTATACTAAATTTTAAGATATACTTGCAAATATATTAGTAAATATTATCTAAAAGGAATAGAAACCTTTCACTGATACAGCTCTGTCTTTGAGGCATTGTGTTGGTACTTTAATGTTTCATGTAATAACAGAAAAGCATATAACAAAGAATTCTACATATACATAACTATCTCCTCCATAAAACATACATATAAAACTCCAAGAATAACTCATCTTAAATCAAAGAGCTGAAATAGCATAAATGCACCTTTCCTCTAAATGAATTTGGTAAATGCTCTAAATAATGCTTTTCATTGTGCATCTTATGATTTCTAGTTTGAGATAAATTGCTGAGAAGCTAGTTTTGCCAGATACTATCCAATTCATCATTTAAAAATTTACAATGTACATAACAGTAAGTAGTGAAGTAAACAACATGGCTGAATAGAGGCTAAGTACAAATCTTTAGTGCAGGAATGAGCCATCGTCATTATCACTATTCTGAACATTAAAATTCTTACTTTAATGAAAAAGATTTTCAAACAATGGATTTAAAAAAAAGATATTAAAACCAGGCTATCCAGAGATGGTATGTATTACGTACATAAATAAAACAAAATTTCATGCTCAACTTTATGGTTAATATATGAAACACATTATTGATAAGGAATTCATTACCTACATTCATGAACTACTTGTAAAATAATCAGAAGCATAGTTTGATTACAAAATTTTCTTCATAAAGAATTATATATATTTTGAGTATCAAGAATTATTCTGGAGATCACAAGAAACCACAAAAACCTAACACATTTATTAAGTAACAGTTTAAAATATTTAAATTTAATATTAGTATTTTCCCTGCTGAGACATTATATTAGATTTGTAGTTTTGGTTATGCATCTATTATCAACAGACATGAAAATGTTCAATGGCCAAGTATTAAGTAATGTAACATATCAGGCACACAAAAAATTACTACTTTAAAAAACTGCATTTATTTTAATCAGTGGTAGAAGACACAAACAAACTGAATTTCTCAAGTTTTAGATTAATCACAATTTAAGCAGATTAAATTTTGAAAGTTAATTTTTTACAAAGAAATGACTATACAATTACCAGTATATTATATATTTAAGTGTGTATATATACATATACAAACAACACTTAACGTAACTCAAGCAGTAATTATTAATCATTTTCTCTTTGGTACTTTGAAACCTTTAGCTTTAAAACTGCAATCTGTAAAGCTTTTTGTTAAGAAAGTTGATGATTCTTTACAAAGAAAGTCTCAATAGGCTACTACATTCACACACCTTACAAAGGAATTGCTACTCATAAAACTGAGACAGTAAGTGTATCCTTGCACAACCACCCTTAAGAAAAGTCAAAAATTAAACTGATTGCATATTTTTCAGGAAATCAGTTTCCCTTCTTAAGCTCCTGTAAATTGCCACTACTGCCAACAGAAACTTGTTCTATAAGCCAATCACCATGATAGAAAAATTGTCATAACTTGAACCTAGCTTTTCTTTTCCAAATTTGAGATTTGTGTCTTCTTCTGTCATCTTCAACACAAAGAAATCAGATGCCTTTTATCTTATTAATCCCCTGATGATATTAAGGTTTTGGGTGTTGCTAGTTGTGAAGACGATGCTGCTGCTTTACAAAAGGATGTGGACTATTTGGTAAGTTTGGCAAATAAATGCAGATATGTGGGATATTACAATTTGAATTGAGAGTATAATTTTGATGGGAATAATCTTAACAGAAAGGTGCCTTAGTGTTCTGGGTAATCAGTCTCTGATATAATCCAAACAATGTGCTATTACTAGTGGCAGGGCAAAAGGGATTTTTAAGTCGTATCTACAGAAATATTAAGTACAAGCCTAAAGAAGTTTTAATTTTATTGTATATGTCATTGATTAGGCAACATTTGGAGTACTGTGTTCAGCCATGGGCTCCTTACCTCTGAAAGGGCATTACATTATTGGAAAGGTTTCAGAGAAGGGCTATGAGACACCTGGGATGAAAAGATTGTCATACAAGGACAGGCTAACATATCTGAAACATATCTGCTTTGGAATAGGTTGCCTTCAGGTGTGGTGGGAGCAGTTAATTCATGGGAATTTAAAGAAAGGTTTAATAAATTTTTAAATGATAAAAGCTGGACTTGAGGAGTTTTTTGAATAGTTTAATTTAGTGGATGAGAGAGCCTGGATGGATCAAAGGTCCCTTGTTATCCATAAATGCTATTTTACTAGGATGATACCTGGTATTGAAAGGGAGTTACATGAGGGCAGTTTTAGATCTTTGAAATTTTTTACTCTGGAAAAATGAAGAGCTAAAAGGGATCTCATTAAGGTATTTAAGATCATCAAGGGAAAGTTAACATTTTCCCACTGTGAAAATGTAATTCTGATAGATACTTACATCTACTCACATATAGCTTTCACAATTCAGTGCTGTCCTCTATATGCAAACTTTTTCGCTCACCACTAGCTTTCAGAATCCCACATAAAATCTTGTGTTCCCCATAATATTGTTGTGCTGTTATATGCAAATGAGTGAGTATGCAACATCCATCCACCAACAGGAATGCGACACACCCTCCTTGTCACTTTGAGATTAGACAAGAAAGTAAGATTAAATGAGGGGAGGAAAGATGGGAAGTATGTGTGAAGGTAAGTAGCTATCAAAAAATATATTTTCAGTGTTGGAAAATGTTAACTTCCAATACACTATGTAACCTATTCTCACATATAGCTAGAAACCTACATTGAAGTAGTGGTGGGAATATTGAAAAAGTTACCTAGATGAGCCCCCTGCAGAAAGCACCCAAAGGGAACCCAAGGAGTGCAACACCCTATAATATGGAACTATATAGGAGCACACCCATGGAATACCATACCTTATCTGTACCAGGGTACATTCCTAGCCCATAAAGAAGAGACGTGTTGCTAGGTCAGGCAGAAAAAAAGCACAATCCAGAATCCAAATCAGTATCATAGACATGCCAATTTGTGTTATGTGGCTAAAGGAGTGTCAAACCATATAGGTTGGTCAACTCAAGTCCAAAACCAAGTGCTATCAAGTATTTTTTGCCCAGTTCATGGTAGGAGGATGATCCCTACCACCTTCACCTCAATGCTAGTGAAGGGAATGAAAGAGTAACATCCACCCTGCAAATTGAGTGAGGGTTTATGTTGCCTGATGCAGCACCAATCCAAAACCAGACCACCCACAAACCCAACTTCCAAGCAACAGTAGGATGGGGAAAAGCCAACCAGAGGGGTGCAATGGACTACACCAGCAGAACACGCAAGAAGAATCCTCCATGGTCCACAATCTCAGCAGCTAGGAACTGGTGAGTGGCAAGGACTCCCATGCTTCACTAGTAGAAATAAAAAAGGGGGGTGAAAGCACAGTGAGAAGCCCAAAGAAGCACAACACCCTAACACAGTGCAATGGATGACCACGAAACCCTCTATTAAGAAGAAGGCCAGCACTAGTTTATTCAATTAGGCATGGAGGATGGGCAGATATCCCCAGCCTGCTTTATTTATGATAGTCCATGAGTGGGTATGGTCTGAAATGGGCCTTGTTTAAGAAATTATGAACTGTGGTGATAGCTCCAGCAGTTATGTGGAACACCACATCCCATAAGTGAGTGCTGTATCAGGCCTTGAAGGCTCTACACTGTGCAGCTATGTATCCCCTGGCAGACACCACTTGCCACTGAGCAGGATCCAGTAAGTATGAGATGGCCTGGAAGGGTCATCCACATGCCAACCCAAACAATCTTCTCTAATCGACAATGGAAGTGAGCAGCCAGGGAGAAAATAAGATGCCATATTAGATGAAAAGACACCTGGAATCATCAGTGAATGTCCCCATCCAACAAATAATACTCTAAACGTATGACCATACAAAGCCATCCAGTAAGGGCAATGGGAGAAATATCAGGGGTAGAAAAGGGATTCCAAGGAATGAAAATATGGGAACCATGAAAAGAAGCAGTGCAGTCCAAATAAGAATGGACAGCTTGTACAGAACAAAGTATGTGTGTTTTCTTATATTAAAGTCACATTGGGCTATCTGCTGTTACCGCCAAGGGGAATCGAATCCCTGATTTGAGCATTGTAAATCCAAAGACTTACCGCTATCCCACTGGGGACCCAGGACAAAGTAAGCAATAAGGAACAGTGAGAGAATAAAGGTGAGAAATAGATAGGAGATATATAGAATTGAATGCACTGTCCCCTTCACATGTTGCAGATGTTTTAGGGAGAAAAGCAGAATCAGGAAAGAGAAGAACATAGAAGCAGAGAGGAAAGTGCCCCTTTCCTAAAAACCCTGAAAA